CTGTTTCTGTCTTACATTCAGAACACTCTGAAGCCACATCTTTGCTACACAAGGATCACTTTTTCATATGTTTACCTCATCATTTAAAACTTTGACTGTGTTTATTGGAACCACCCAACAGTATGCCACTATACTGCAGATAATCTACAAAGATCATCTGCTCATGTTTAATAAAACTTTAAAAAGAAATCTCTGGATTTTGCTTTACGCTCTCATTTTCAGGTCACTGAGGTCACATTTTTTATAATAATATACAGATATATAATAGATCATTTATACCAGCTACTATAAATTAGCACCACATGGCCAAAAACGATGCTATAAACCACACAAATGTGGTTAATATATTTTGCTTTTAAAGGTCTGTTCTACTCCATCTAATCTGCTGAAAAACACAAATGCAAAAGCACACGGTGACATTTTAGAGAACAGAGCTTTTAAACACGGCGATATCCTCACAGCATGAAGCATTACAAATATTTTTTTATCCATGTTGGTAACAATTAACTTGACTGGGATCCACAGAACCCTTACCTCACCAGCCATTAATATTAACGGGTGTAATGCAGGTAGTGAAGCTTTGATTGAGGCAGATCTGGAATGGCAGATATCCTTAACGTGCTGTTATAAAAGTACAGCAGAGCAAAAAAGTTTTGAGTATCCTTTGTCCTTCAGTGTACAAGCAGCTCAAATCTGAGAGGATGCAAGATGAAGGGAAAGCACACATACACAGAGCAAATAGTAGAGATAATCATGCCTGCTGCATCTAATGAACAGATATAATAAGCACTTCTCTCATTGTGTCATCTAATTTATCAGCTATTGTCCTGCGCTCCTTTTTTCTGTCAAGCTCCTTCAGGCTGATTGCAAATAAAATAGAATTAGCAATCATTTTCTTCTAACCCGATTTAATGAGCAATTTAATTTCAAGAGACCCAGATTTACTGCATGCACCGGCTTCATTCATTTAAGTGTGTATACATAATCAAACACACATGCTCAAGTATGTGGAGGAATTTTTTTTCTTTTGTATTTCCCTCACACACACGCGCACACGCAGAAAGTGCCATCCTTTTTGGTCCAATCGATTCATTTAGTTTACCTCAATGACACCGGAGCCTGCTGGAAATATCCTGTCCTTAAAATCTTCCTTCCCCCCTCCTTAAACGTCTGCTTTGGCCCGACATGATGAATGATCGCTCGGGCCAATCAATTCTATTTAGATAAGCTCGCCTCCAGATAGGACAGGAAAAGGAAGAAGGATGGATTTTTTTGAGTTATTCAACACGGAGGCCCAAGGTTATTGTTATTTGGGATGTCCGCCAAACTGATATTTCACAGGTAGGGCGGAGTTGGTAACTGTACGAGCTTGAGGAGTCTCACAAAGATGGTCGAGGTGCAGAAAAATGGCGTTCGCTTTTCTTTGATAACCGGACTGCGGATCTAAAAGAATAGACGCGGTGTTGTCTTTGTCTTAACAATCTTTAATTTTCACAACTGTCCACTCTGGTGTTGGCTTTCCAAAATCTTTAACCACTTTTCCAAAGTTACTGCAAAAAGTTAGGTTTTCCTGCAAATTGTTTTCCTGAGCCATTCATCGGTAGATATGCTTCATCATCATCATCATTTTACTATTGAAAACACAAACCTATGGTTCAAATGCAACCTTTGGACAGATGGCCTCACATTTCCTTCAATCAGGTTTTTTGATATGAGACAGAACTCAGCTGAATCAGTGACTGCAAGCTGCCCAGTCCCTCAGGCAGCATTTCCCCTGTCATGCTTCATGGCCGGTGTGAGGTTCATTTCCCGAAAAGCTGTCTTTGGTAGGTGCCAAATATGCCTGCTGTTATTGTGGTCAAACAACTGTCACGAAACTGGCCAACATTAGTTTCCTTTAAATGTTCTTTCTGGAATTCTAAAGCTTTTTCCTGGACCTGCAGCTCATGCAGGTCAAATGTATGTCAGATCTCTTTGTACCTGAAGAATCTGCAGATCCTCTGATGGCTTTTTTGTTTTCAGGCCACTCTCTGAATTCAGTGGCCTGTCTGTCCTGGAAGAATTGTCATTTCCAGACCCATTCTAATTCTGTGTTTGTGAGGATTTGATTAACGTAGGGGTGTCATTGTGTTTTTATGTGACCTGAGAACACCTACACCTTTATCTTTATACACATTTGTTCTTAAAAGAATAAAAAGTTTATTCAAATAATTTGCAAAAGTACTTTATATGGCAAAAAACGTATTTCTTTACTTCCCCTTTACCCACATATATGTTAATCTTTTATATAAGCTGTGATAAATGCTTTAAAACTGTACTTGACTGTGCACCTCCACAAAATATAGAGTTCAATGCAAAAGTTTTGAGCCATCTTTTATTTCTTTATATGTTGCTAGGAACATGAAACATGGAAATACAGCATATGAAGCAAAAACAGAGTTTGTGTAGTTCTACTGAGCTTGAAAGTCAGTACTGTAATGACTTTAAGTAATGTTGAGGTGTGGGCTCTGGAGTCCACAGCTGATAGCACTTCCATTCTGGCATTATTTTACTGCATTGGGAGTGTGTTCGGGATCATTGTGATGCTGAAAAATGAAGCTGTTGCCAATCAGACGCTTTCCAGATGGTTCATAAAAAAGTTATGGTACTTTTTCTGTATTCAAAATTATTACAATTTTGACAAGATCCCAAGACCACTGGCTGAAATCCAGCTGATGACAGGGCCTCCACCATGTTTTACAGATCCATTCATCTGTCCATGATGTATCTGGGTGGATTTGGTTCCTTAAAAGTGCTGATATCACAAAAACAAGCATGGATAAATGTTCATACGTCTTCTCTTGTTAACCTGCACACCCCTGTACAGTCTCATTTATTTTAAAGTCTGAGGATATTCCAGTTATTCTAAAGATTTTAAAATAGTGAGATTAAAGTAGGCATCACTGCCTGGGGAACATTTGAATTCAAGGCCTTAAGTCAAGCTAACACACCAGATCAGCTCCATTTAAATAAAAATGGATAACAATCCAGCCTTATTAATTTACATGTGTCTGGATGATTTTACCAGATCTTCCAGCTTCACCCAGATGTAAAGACTTTCACCTAAAATTCCTGCAAAATGACAGTGTCTGCAACAAGAACAACAGCTTTCTAAACTGGATCCGGTGTTTAATCCAAGGAAGACACTGACATATGGGCCTCAAATCAACACTTTGCCCATGAGATGTGACAGTTCAGCTACCAGCACTAAATCTCTCTCTGCTGGTATAAAGTCTTCATTGACATCTGTTAGCAAGCACAAGCTTCCTTCAGGAGTGTTACAGCTTGTGAAAGTAGCAGGGTTGGAGATGCTTAACCCAACAGCTCCACTGTGTGGCTCATTTGGAGCATTGCCTGTAAATAACTACCAGACATTTACACATTTTAATTGTGAATTACAGGCTTTTGCTCTCCCTTTATGAACTGCAGTAGTATTATGTGCAAACACAATTCAGGTTCTGCCACTGACTCACTGCTGATTCATACTATATAATACAGGCTTTTATTTCCTTTTTTTTTTTAACATACGCAGTAAAGAAGCCTGCAAAGCTGTAAATATTTTCAGATACCATGGAAACAAATACTAATACTGGTGTTGGAGGCACACTGCCAAACACATTCATGTGTGTTAATAAAGTTTTAATGAAAACAAGGAATTGTGCCAGGAGTCATTATTTACCTTTTGTACTTCATTAATCTGTCAATCTCACATGTCACACTCCTTAAATCAGTATGGGTGTCACCATGACTCACTATTTACTCACACGACACAGACATGTGTTACAGACATGTAAGAAGCTCTATGTGAAGGGTTTTCAACATTTTCTTAACAGCTGATTTTGTTTCAGGGTGTGAAATCTCTGAACTATAAAAGCCTTTACAGATTCTATGGAAAAGGCTAAAATACTGAAAACATCTTTAAGTTGAATTGTTTTTCCAAATAGTAAAAAATATATACATATTTCTACATACACGGGCTATGTATGTCAGTGAACATCTTGTACCAGACATATCAGTGCTTCCCTTCTATACTTGATTAATCTGAAGTTTCACAATGAAATAAATGACTCTGCAGATGCTGAATGTCACTATGCCACAGAAAGTTATAATAAATATAAACTGACTTCATAATAAAAATGTTTTTGCTGGAATAGAGAGATCGGGAAATGATTTATATATATGACCATTAAACAATCAGGAATTTTTCATCACAGCCAAGATGATTGCATCCTAGATTTGCAGCTTATTCTAAAAATAATAATAATAATAAAAAAAAATAAAATTTAAAGAATCATTTATGCTACTTTCCCTTTAATGCTTCATATTACTTATTCAATTTTGAAAAAAAACCAACCTGCAATTAGCCGCTATCCTTACTCACAAATGACTACACAAACACATATATGACACAGGAATAAGTCTTGGGATGATTATTTCTCCGGCTTTTACATCTGCCTTCGAGTTTCAAGTGAGTGACAGGAAGCGCTGACATGAAAACAATCGACACGGCGATACGAGAACATTTCATTGCAGCATTTTGCTCTGTGGAAGCTCACTGACTGTCAAAGCGAACGCAAGTGAAGAGTAGCAAATGATATCTGAAAGAGGATAATGAGCGCTTGCTGCTTCATCGGCTGTGTGCAGAAAAACTCAAAGAAGGCAAAGTTAAAGGTGAGCCAACACGCAGGGTTGAAAAAAAATAGGAATACAATATATTCAGGAGGGTAAAGGAGGAAAAAAAAATTACTATTCTCTCCTGTATCAAACTGAGGCAAAATGAGACCGAGGAACTGTTAGGGAACAGCTTTTGATTCTTGAGAACAAAGCTGGACCTTTTGCACTTTCCTCATCATCACTAATTAAACAAACGTTAGTGTGTGTTTGTGTGTGTGTGTTGCATTATGTGCAAAAAGGAATTACTGCAAGCATAACGTAGGAATAGATGTGCAAAATGAAGGAAATTCAGTTTTAAGCAGGAAGGAAAACAGTATTTTAATGTCCACAGATGAATTCATAACTTATCATAAACAAGATGTTTCAATACAAGACTTGGTGACACAATTAAATAAGAAAGGGAGGAGATAAGAATGTTATCTAATAATCAGCTGCACAATTTAACAATTTCTTGATCACTAATTTGCAATCAGAAATTAGTTTTTGATGGGATTCACATTACTTATATCACACAGATGTTCGTGTGCCTGGTGGGAGCACATCAGCGGGTCCTCTATCCTCACTGACGGTCTTCTCAGAAGTTGTATGGACATACACTTTGACGTAGTCACCACCTCCATCATTCCTTTGCCCTTTGCTTGAAAGCAGTGCCTGCTCCTCTCCATCCTTGTTGGGGTTGGGGGGGGCAGTAATCTGTCTGTTCCCTTTCGCCACAGTCGACTCTATGTGTTCTGACGCAGGGTTCCTGGTCTCCCCCGTCTCCTCTACCACCGCCCGGCAGTTTAGGATGAGTGGCGGCAAAGGCACGCTGCGGGCCAGCTCCTCGATGTGACGGGCAAACTCCATAGTTTTGAACTGCGTGACCTTGGCGAGCTCCACCGTCTTGGCTGAAGTGACAATGGGGATGCTCTTGGCAACCTCGAATGCCTTCTGCAGCTTCTCTGTGCCCTCTGTCCGGAAGAACTCATTGATGACCCTCTCCATCTCCTTGAGGTGGCTGCTGACCATGCACAGGCGGGCCACGTTGAGGATCATGGTGATGGTGAAGGCCACCAGGCACACAACGACGAAATGCAGCCCCAAGCCACTGTCAGAGTAGGCAACGCGAAGAGTCACCGTGTAGTTTTGGGTGCCGCCGCTGGCGCTCGAGGCAACGCAGGTGTAGCTGCCACGGTCCTCAAACAAGACCTCGGTGATGTTCAGGATGCCTTCCTCTTGAATCTGCCACCTTCCACCTGCGGCAATAACGCACAACATATTTTTGCTTTTACCACAAAGTTTCTCATTAAAACGTTCAAATCTCCTTCATCTCCTTAATCAGCAGCATTACCTAAGGCAATTTGTCAAAGACAAGAAATAGAAGGCAGCCATTCTTTTTCTCCAAACTCTAATCAGTACACATCTCTGTCACCTGCTGACAAATGGTTCAGCAAGTCAACCAGAATGACAATTTCTGGATTTCTTTAGTATTTGAAAATTAAAATACCTACAGAGACCTTTTGGTGACATGGTAACAAGTGCACAGATACAGAAGGTGGTTTTATTCAATGCCAGTGTCCTGGGTCTACAATTATTTAAATACAACATCGTGTAACACATTATAGCACATCGGGATATTATGTTAAAATTCATGGAAGTCCAATTATTAAAATGGCAGCACGAGTTAGGTTTGCAAAGTTACATCTGAACAGACTCAAAGACTTCTGGAACAATGTCCTTTAGACAGACAAGGCCAACGTGGAGGTGTTTGGCAATAATACCCAGCATCATGTTTGGGCTGATAAGCTGCATTTGATTTTTGTTAAACACCTCACACTAACTGTTTGCTAAAGGCCAACTGTTTGACAGCTAAAACTAGGCCAAAACTGGCTCATGCAACAGGACAATGATCCTAAGCACAGCAGCAAATCCACAAGTTGCACAGGCCCGGCCAAAGTCCGGACTTCAACCGGACTAAACTGCTATGAACGGACCTTCAATTTATTTCTGTTAAAGGTGGTTCAGCAAACTACTGAATCATGAGATGTACTTAATTCATCACACACTGCTTCTGCAGTTTGTGTTAGATAAATAATGATACAGTGTGTCACATAGTATAGGCCAGCAGGGGGGTTTCTACGGAAGAGGATTAGGGCCACTAAGTGGGTACGTCTTTTTTTTTTCTTCTTTTCCTGAATTCTGAGAAAAAAGTCAGAATTCTGACTTTTTTCTCAGAATTCTGACTTTAATCTCAGATTTTTTTTTCCAGTGGCCCTAATCCTCTTCCGTAGTTTTCAGTGTCTGAACACACAAAATGTTATATATGAAATGAAACATACTTCCTTTTTCCACATACTGTTTGTGACTAAAGTATTATTCATGGTAAAAACAGTAACAATGATTGACTAAGTGATTGATATGCTGGTTGAAAGGCAGTGCTTATGTGTCTTACTTTACATAAAACCTTTTTTTCACTTTCAGAATTAAATGCCACTGAAATATCAGCACGAGCACTAACCCTGAAAGTATGTTTTTCAGTTCATTTGATTGCTTTCAGATAAAAAAAGCCATGCAGGACGAAAAGAACTCGAAGCTGATCAAAAGCTCGCTGCTTCATTTCCTCGTCCTACCTGCGTCGTCACCCTGCAGGGGTCCTTTAGAGTTGTACCAGCTGATTTTATCATGGGTCCCGGTCACGTTACACGTAATCAGCATGCTCGACCCCTCCTTCACCACGATGGGTGGGATGCTAGCCCGCTGCATTGAGGTCATCACCTCTGACCCATTGTGAGCTCCACCTGCTTTCCAGCAATTGAGCAGTAAGAATGTGGCGAGCCAGTGAGAGAGGTGAGGATTATGAGGCAAAAACATGTTGAAAAGAGCCACAGATTCAGCTCACATTGGGACGAGACAAACCTGCAAAACAGGAAAAGTCAACGGTCAAATCTGATGTAGCGTCATATGACAACAGGCCCTTAGCTCTTTAGTGTCTTTATAATATGTACGTCTGCATTTCATAAATTTGAATGTTTAGTATATTAGTATTTTATGCAGTAATCATCAGGACATAAAACCTTTACAGGACAATTTTAATTAAAAGGAAATCATTTGAGTTTAAATGTTGTGTTTAAGCTCTTCTCTGTTTGTTTGTTTTTTTAATCTTTTTTTTCAGAGCACTTTGTTGAATTCTTGATCTCATTTTTCTCCATGTTCCCAACATTTAAGTTACAAAATCATCACCCTTTTATTTGAATAACATTATAATTTTGCCCTGAAGTCACTTTTAGCTCATTTTTTTAAATCTATCTTTTCTGAACCCTGTGTAAGTTTACAGAAAATAAATCTCGGTTATAACATTAAGTATACGGCGAACGGGACAGGCGTGAGGCACATTTACAGTGATGCTTAATGAGTGCGCTAAACTAACAATTCAGAATAAATTATCTGAAAAGTGGGCAATTCCTTAATTCGTTTACAGACTGAAAGTATCAGTAAAAGGTACTGTGGTGATATAATACACCGAGTTTTAAACAGAAACATAACATAGGTCAGACACAGCTTGATTAAATAACAAACTGGTTCTTGTTAACGCACTAGCGTCCCAGGCACGATAATGGTTTTCGAACTAAAACCATTCAAATTCCCACCTGTTGCCCACAGAAACCAAGGCAGCCTAATCCACCATCAGCAAGTGGCAAAAAACATCAGATATGTATGGGATTCAGTACCACGTACGAAAGTGACCCAGTTCGGATGTGAAAATATCGAATTTGTGCTGTTCACACCGTCATACCATGATCGGATATGGGTCGCATAGGGTCAAAAAAGTCGGATTTGATGCGCTTTCGCCTGCAGTGTGAAGTTTTACAATTATTTTAGTAATTTACCTTGAAGTGTGCCAGCCAAGGAAGCACAATCCATCCGATCCATTCACTTCCTAGTACAGGTATGAGTGAATGGGCGTGGTTTTCTGTCAACTCTTCCATGCAGGTAGGTGAGATCACGTCACTGTCGCCTATTTATTTATTTTACATTTTTACACGATTTATAAGAAATAATCTAAGTCAAACAGTTTATGTACTGAACGTTTTGTTATTTATTCAATGATTCATTAGCAGTTTTTTTCTTTAATCGTGTTTCTCTATTTTTTTTCAATAAGTAATAACAAGGGATATAATAGTCATTTGTATTTGTATATTGTTGTTAGAATTAAACATTATTATTATTATTATTATTATTATTATTATTATTATTATTATTATTATTATTATTATTATTATTAAAGTAGCAATACATTAACTAAGCGCATTTTATTTTGACGTTTCCGGAAGTCTTGTTTTCTTTTTTTAATCCAGAACGACAGACCCTCCTAATGGGACTGATTCATTTCAAAATAATATTGCAAAAACTGAACCCTAAACTACTAACCTAACTTTTCGGTTCGAGTTTGTACTTTTTGTAAATTAAACTTTGAGCACATTTGTTTTTTCTCTTCTATAAAGATTAATACGTTTGACGTTACAGTCAATTTGTGAGCATTAATGTGCTACATACTTTTATTTTGAAGAGAATAACAGGAATTCGTGTTTTTCATTGTGGCTAACAGCTAGACTTTGAAAACAAAATATGACGTGGCTAATCCGGGTGGAAAAACCACAGCACGAAAATCTGAGCCATTAAAGTGTTTGTCAGAAAACTAGAAGTTGCTAAAGGTGTAGATACTAAAGTGCAAACCGAAACAATAAAAGGCGGATCTTATTTTTAATTTGGAAGCGGAAACTACTACAACTATTAGCTGATTGAGCTAACGTCACCTGCTAACATTACGACTTTGACAGCTGAGCAGGAGAAAAGGTGAGTTAATAGCAAGGAACTTAAGTTAGCTTGTTTTTTCTCATTAAATTATTAGTTTATTATAGTTGAACCAGCAGTCGATGCTAGAAAAACAGCTGACGCTCGTGTAAAGGATACTTGCAAGACACGAACTCGATGTTCTCCTAAACTGTTAGCAAGCGTTTTGAAAGGGAGAACTTAACAGTAAATCCAGTAAACATCCAGTACGTATTGATCCCAGCGCTAAACTATTACCACGGACTACAAGAAAACGTGACACACACATTTTTATGGATTATCTTTATACTTGTACAAACTCCTACTTTTTCTTCTGTGTGATGATTGTTTTCTTTGCCACTTTGGACTTTCTATGTACTTATATATGATTCAGCATCACTACCTCCAGCTCCCATGGATAGCTAAAAGCAATGCAAAGTCGGATTAATGCATTAATCTCATATTGTAAGAATAATTAGATTTGTCCTGACAGCTCCACGATTTAACGCTTGGAGATGTGAAAAGCTTCTGCTTCAAACCCATACGAAAATACATCTCTTTAGACTTGGTTAAAGCCTTGGTTAAGGGCCAAGCTAAAGAAACATTTAGTGCACCTCGTTTTTATGAGTAGAACAGCTTACGAACAGCGCAGCATGTAGTGTTTCTTCCTCTTGTGAAGCCCCGGTCAAAATATTTCTGTTTTTATGAAAAGACGCAGAGATTCCCTCACAAGTTTGATTTACTGGAGTC